TTGATGCGCAGCCCTCCGCTGACCTTTGGGCAGGCTGTAACAACGCTTTCCTAAGCAAGCTTACTTTGGCAACCTAGCGCAAAGCGTTCCAGGCAGTTCTAATACAATGGAACCAGCTTTCAGACAACCTCTTCCCAGGTTTAGGGTTTAATGTAGACCCATGATTAATAAACCCCCTCCCCTTAATAGGGAGTATAATATGGATCCTAATATGAAGGCCCTTAAAAGGAGGGGGTTTATTAATCAGGGGTCTACATTAGGGCCCCTGATAGATACATCTGAGCTATAGTCTAAACTCCTATAGTAAGCATAATACTCCCCCGTATGACCCCCTATGTAACCCACTTTAAGGAGTTTAGACTATAGCTCATATAGGGCTGTGGCTCATCCAAGTTGTTGTTGATTGGAGGTGTTCACTCACTCTATATTAGAGAACTTCATAAGCTGGGACCTGCCCCCACCTATTAACAATCTGTAGTAGGCGTCATATTAAGGCTCTGCATAGTTATCCTTAAGGGTCCAAGGACCCAAATAATCAGGTTTTAGGGCACAAATACCATTACTATTATTATAGTACTTGGGGCCTAAAACCCTATTATTTAGATCCTTGGACCCTTAGGGTATATTGTGATTCTTATCCAGGAGGCCGTATCCTATTCGCATGCATGATGATAGGGTTCCAGATGCTGCGTCATACCTTCCCGCTCAAGACAGGTGGTCATCTCTTAATCTTAGCTCCCCTTAAGTTCCCTTCGCAATAATTACAGCCCCGAATACCTAGCACAAAACAAGATCACTTAACCCTACAGTCTAAACCCTACGGATCCATTCCTTCATTCCTAGCTAACCGAAGGCCAGCTTAAGGAATAAGAGCCGCCGGATCTTTTCGTCGTGCGCGCCATGCATCCCGCCAAGCACGGGATTTTGGCACAAAGCCTACCAGATTCTACGTTTCAACTTGCTGGCGAAGCTGCACTACCGACCAGCGGGCTGCAAGGCCTGGAGAGATTAAGTATGTAGGGTCTATGGTGTAGAGACCTGTTAAACGGTCATGCTGAACAATCGGTGTTTAGGGGAACAGGGTGAGGGACCTGCATTCCATGATCATGGCTCAGAAGTGACCCTCTTTGAACGGGATACAGCCTCGTTTATTTGTACAAGTGGCTTTGTCTTTGAACGTGCAAAAAAACGTTCAGCATATTCAAAACGTGAGTCTAGATGATAGCCCCTAGAGTACTCCCCTATATTATCCCCTAAAATTTCAGGAGATTAAACACTAAACCCTAAACCCTATATACCCCCCTGTAAGGAGTTTAGACTATACTATGACTATAGCTCACATGTTTACGGACCCCATACAATCGGCCCTGCCGATTCGCGGAAACATGCCAAATAGGACATGGCAGTCTAAAGGTCCTAAAGGTCCCCATTTCAACCCTAAACCCTAAACCCTACCTGAACCCCAAAAGTATGTAGAATAATTGCCTTTTGGGCTATATTTATGGGTTTTGGGCTATTATTTTACCTACTCTTGGGGTTCAGGTTTAGGGTTCAGAGTTCCAGCTATGTTGGAAACTTTCGACGTCGGTGTGGATGGCTCATGGTCAGATACTCCCAAATGGCTTCCATGAAAAACGCTTCACAAGGAGTTTTCTTCGCACGGGCGGTTCTTGTGCAAACCGAAGTCCCTTTTCCCTAAGTATAGTCCCCCTGAAGTAGATAGAATATGGCTTTGGGTATACTATAATAAGATCCCCATATACCCCATATTCTATCTACTTAAGCCGGACTACACCCCTAGGTAATCCCAGTTTCCATTTCATGTTCTATTTTCTTTTTGATGTGATTCTCCTGTATTCCCGTCAACCCTAGACTCTAGATCTTGTATGTCCCCCTGATCTCCTTCAAGGGACCATAATATTAGGGTTTAGGGTTAGAGTATACAACCCCTAGACCCCTAAACCCTTAGAGTATACTACAGACCCTGCTTCTGGTGGATTCAGGAGCCTCCGGCTGTCTGAACCTAAAAACGCGAAGAGATTGGTACAGGCGAGGTGGAAGCGTACTGGTTCTGGAGGACACCCTGAACTCCTCTAAAATGGGGATTTTAGTAACCTGTGGTTTCTTTTGCAGGGGGGACATATGGGGTGGGGCTGATACAGGGATATATGGGTTTAGGGTCTTGACCTTTGTAGCCCCAACCCCGACAAGAACGAGCTCTTTGGAGTCATACGTTAGTCGTAAAGTTGTCAATATTGGGGGTTGGGGCAACCCAAACCCCCTTATTGACACCAAAAGCTGATTGAACCCAAGAACTACAGCATTTGGGGTGCCTGAAGTGGTGCAGGATTTGCTTAACCCCAAACCCCAAATCCTAAACCCAGAACCCAGAACCCGAACCCCCAAAAACCCTAAACACTAACCCCTAAACCCTGCAGGTAAGGGGGTTGGGGGCCTGATAACTGGCCCCGTTAGGGCTCACCGAGAGAACATCCTTTTGGCATCACCATGCCCAAGGTTCCAAAGGGCTTGGAGTTTAGTGCAAAGTATGCTCCAGAAGTAGGAATTTACCTTATAGTTTGGGTAAGTCTTCCCTAATATTCCCTATATCGGTACTCAGGACCCTGCAGCATCACCATCATCATCCCCACAATGGCTTACTGTCGTTGTTGTCACAAACATACCATCACGATACTCATCGCTATCGTCATCAGCCTCATTGTCGTAGTCACAGTGTCAACAATAATGTGAATCGCTGATTAACAAACCCCCTCCTTTTAAGGGCCTTAATATTAGGATCCCGATTATACTCCCTATGAAGGGGAGGGGGTTTATGCATCATGGGTCTTCATTAGCACCAGCAAGCAGCCACCGGAGGAATAACCGATCGTGTGCTGCTGTATGCCGGTGGCCGCAGCTGGCACTTGCGCAAGCCTTCTGTATATGGGTGGTTGTCAAAATTATGGTCCTTCTGTATATGGGTGGTTGTCAAAATTATGGTCCCTTTTTGGGTACCCTAAATATTAGGTGCCGTATTATAATAGGGATCCTAAGAGGGCCATAATCTTCCATATGGAGTGCATCAATTGCGGAAGGGTTTAGGATTTAGGTTCAGGGCTCAGTGCGCAGAAGTGTCTCAGAGGTGAAAGGGCTTTGGTGCTTTCCACATCGCCTGTCGCCACCACCAGAATGGTGAGTCAATACGTGAAGACATGGGATACGTTCGCGGAAAGAGAACTTCCCAAAGGCGTGGCGCAATCTTTGGGATCATATTAATGCGGATGACATCCACCACTAATAGTAGGCCAGTAGTTATGTGATGAACAAGTACAAACAGGAATTGGCAGCTAGGCCTATGCTATTGCGAACAAGGCAGAGTATGCTAACCTACAGTGCGGAACCCAGTTCCCACCCTTGGCGCATCCCCTTCAATCAGTGTAGTGACAGCAGCTCCTCAATCCCAAGCCCTAAACCCAACTCTTTGACCTCAACCCCCCTTAACCTTACAACCCAAACCTTGAAACCATAGGTCTAAACCCTCCAAACCCTAAGCCTTGAACCTAAACCCAAAGCTCTGAACACATCTGCGCTCCGCTAAGCCTTAAACGCCACCTTTCGGAAATCTGTCCGACGGTCTGAACAAGCAGAGTTGGAGAGTTTCTCAAATCCTTCCCAGGATTAAGGGTTACGGTTTAATCTAGACCCCTGATTAATAAACCCCCCTCCTTTTAAGGGCCTAAATATTAGGATCCCTTTCATGATCTCTTTCAATGGGAGGGTGTTTATAATGAGGCGTCTGGGTTAGGACTTAGGCTTTAGCTGGGCAGAGCGAGGATCGGGGGGGGGCTAATCCTAATCCATAATCCATGTAATCCATGCAAATGGCCTAATCCTTACAATCTGTAACATGGTGGCGTCTGGGTTAGGAATTAGGCTTTATTTAGGGTTTAGAGTTCAGATTTAGGGTTTAGAGTTTAGGATTTATCCTCCACTTAACTCTATCTAAAGAAGCCTAATCTAAGCGTTGATGTATCCAATACCTGAGTACTTATAAGTTTAGGCCGGTTTTTCGGAAGGGATCTGACGATTGAATAGCAGGCTCGGACTGGGCAATAGGGTTTGGGGCTCATTTTCTGAGGCCTTATAAGGTTTATTACCTAAACCGGGTTCCGGGCTTCTCCTGCAAACAGTTTAAGGGCTAAAACGATATAGAGACACGCCACAGGTTTAGGGTTCAGCGTTTAGGGCTAAAGGTAACCTAGGGCATATAGGGATATCAAGCGCTTACAGCTTAGGAGGCTCGTGGAATAATGGATAATCACATGGCAGAAAAGACAATGGGCTATGACATGGAAATTGGTATGCTGTGTATACAGGTAGGGAAAAAGGAATTCGAGGCCAGAAGCACCAACGTTCGCTAGAGGACTACTTACCCCTAACCCCTAAAGCCTCAGCCCTGAAACCTAAGCCCTCCACCCTAATTTGTTCAAATTATCACCCTAAACCCTAAACCCTAACCCTAATCCCTAAACCCTAAACCCTAACCCCTAAACCCTAATCCCTAAACCCTGAACCCTAAACTAAACCCTAACCCCTATACCCTAAAACCTAAGCCGGGATTCCCCTACCTTGCTTCATTCCACACCCCCAAAGACCCTGATCTTTAATCAGGGCTTAGGGTTTAGAACTTTCGTCTCTAAGCCCTCAGGGTTCAGGGTTTAGGGTTGGGAGGCTAGGGTCTAATTAGGGTGTCGGGTACAAAGCAATTCCATCTTCATTTCCATAATTGCTAGGTATAACTTGGGGTTCCCTCGTACCCTGAACACTACTTCGCGAAAACATCATCTGAACGACAGACAATATTTTCCACATAATGTGACGCTAACGACTAGACCCTTAACCCCCAATCCATGAACCCTAAACCCTAATCCCTAAATCCTAATCACACCCTCAAGCTTAAGCCCTCACCCTCTACTTTGCGAAACCCTCATCGTATCTCTTCAGGATGGACTGCGCTCCTCGGTGAGGTCACGCACAGATCTGGCCTGATGGTGGCGGATCATTTCATGGATGCCTCTGCTATCCCTCGATAGCGCTATAGGAATATAGATCCCCTTAAGTAGATAGAATATGGCTTTGGGTCTATTAGAAGAACATCCCGATATTCCCCATATTTCATCTACTTGAGGGGGACTATATTCCGATTACATTAGGTTCATATGTGAATAGACCCAAAGCCATATTCTATCTACTTAAGGGGACTATATCCAGATTACATTAGGTTCATTGTGCATTGGGAGGAGAACTATAACTATGGGCCCACTTGCAACCGCTCCCAGGGTTTCCTCCTAAGTAAAGCCACTTAAGGAGAATTTGGATTAGTTAAGGACAGCTAAGGGAAACCTAACAGGGTGGTATAGGGAGGGGTATGTAGGGGAACCCATGATCATTCAGGGCAGGCTGGGGGGGCAGAGTGCAAGAGTTTGACACTAAGCCCTACACCCAGAAATTTGGGCCCCAAACTCTAAACCCTTACTGCAATTCTGAACTGCTGAGCCCTAAGGGCAGTATCCTAAGCCCGACGCTCAAAGCTCTTTCTGTGGCTGTGAACCCCTACACCTCTAACCACAAGACCCTAAACCCAGAACCCTAAACCCTAACACAACTGTCTATAGCCTAGAAAGACATGTTAACGTCCTCCAAGTAGCAACTGCTAATTGCTGAGATGGTCCAAGTATCCAACTAGCACAGATTTTGAGCCCAAAGCACTCGGGGATCTAGGAATCCATTTGGGCCAAAATCGCATCCCATTCAGGAACCGCGGCCCCTGCATGTAGCACTCGGACCCCTATGGTGACCCCTGAAAAGAGATGCTGGTCCTGCTCCAGTCGCTGTTGCTCCATCCTCAACTAAGGGAATGTAGGGTTTAGGGCTTTAGGGTTTAGGGCTTTAGGGCTTTAGGGTTTAGGGGTTTAGGGGTTTAGGGTTTGGGCCTAAAAGGGCATGTCACATGTGCGAACACATATGGAAATGCATTTTGCACCTGGGTTCAGACATGAATTTAGAACCCGATATTCATTTGAATGGTAGTATGAAGAACTTACTCAGTCTGTCCAGATATATCACCAGCCCCCCCCCCAAGAACAAAAATCGCATTACAGAGGGAAGTGTGGGTCTTAATTCCCCAACATCTGTATATATAGACCCTTAGATCTGATCCCAAAGCCCTAACTCCCCCCCAACCCTAAACTTTATATGCCCCAAGCCCTACACCCTAAACCCGAAATCCCTAAATCTCAAATCCACTAACCCTGAATTAAGCTGCTCAATATTCGGGAGGTGGAGGGTTTGAATATGGTAGTTTCCCTAAACAGGGGGACCCCAATAAAGACCACCAAGATACTCGAACCTCTAATATGGGGGACCCCCATAAAGACCACAATTTGGGAAACCTTAAACCCTAACCCCTGTAGAACCCTAGCCCCTGACCACTATGGAGGCCCTCTATAACCCTTGAAAGGTACCCCTAATTCTCCTAAACCCTAAACCCTAAACCCTAGTGGGGAAAGGGGATGGAGGCTGGCCAAAAAGCTTGAAAGTTCCTTGCCATCCCTTCTTGAGATTGGAATTTAGGGTTTAGGAATTAGGGTGTAGGCATTAGGGTTTAGGGATTAGGGTTCAGGGATTAGGGTTTATAGGGATTGGGGTTTAGGGTTTATGGGGATTAGGGTTTAGGGTTTAGAGTTGACGGTGTGAGACACTCAAAATTTGAGGTTTGGGGGGTTGAGTGATCAGCGCTCGGGTTGAGAATTAGGGTTTGGACACTTGCTATTGTTGTTGTTAAGGAAGTTGAGCTAAATTAATTGCAGAAACTTAGTTTAAGCTCCTTAACAGCAAGCCAAAGACAGCCTGAATGTGAACCTTTACTATCCACAAGTCAACCATACGATTCAAGAGAACGAAAATGGTAGAATATATCTGAAAGTCTTCCTGTGTATGCTTCCCAAAGTTTAGGGTTTTCGGCTGGCATGTTTGGTTCCCACCAAACCGCTATGTTCCTGCGAACCCAGAACCCGAAAACATGAAGAAACGGAGTCAAACAACGGAGAACCTGTGCAACCTCCTACACCCTACATCCTAAACCCTAACCCCAAACTCAAAACCCTCCAAATGGTTCAACCCTACACCAACCTGTACACATATCGTATACCCGTCTTGCAAAGCCTCTGTGGCCCTGAGCGTCAGAGTACAGCTAAACCTCTACTTTCCAATGCAACTACTAAAATTGTTAGCAACTTGTTAGCAGTATACTTTCTCAGGACCTGTGCAACAATTGCTAGTAACATATTCTCAGGTGGGCTGTTCAAAGCTGAATTGCACTTGGGGAGGCTTAGAACACTACGTGGCACTTAGGACCCCTACTAAGGGTTAACCCTTAGTATAATAGGAATATAAGGCAATCCCAAAGGGTTAAGGGTCCAAGGTCCAAGCTAAGTCCCAATGAGAACATTGCATAGGGTTCAGGGTTTAGGGCTTAGGATGCAGGGTTTAGGGTTCAGGGTTCGGGGTTTAGGGAAGCTGTGCTGGTTCCAGCCCATCTATAGTGCTTAATAGCCGAGTTTAGGTTGTACCTTGGGGCCTGGGGTATTACTGCAGTTTGCTATGCTGCAGGCTTCGTAGTATCAACAGCATTTTGGCCAGCATGTGCGCAGGCAAGGGGTACAGGTACTGGGAACAACAAAGGTTGAGTACTGCCTGCTCCCACTAGCAGTGGTCTAGTGGGTTTCTCTTCGGCTTATCTTGAGACACTAATCCAAACAGCACAACACAGATGAGGAAAACCCATGATGAACTTAGTGTTGTGCCGTCTTTGCCGTCTAGTTTGCGTCTGTGAGCAGGCCGCGGTATTCTTGCTCATGGGCAATAGAAACTAGACGGAAAAAAAAGCACAATGCCTTTGAAACACAAAACCACACATGAAATTAGTGCTATGCCTTGGGGTCTAGTTTGTGATGTACGTTAGCAGGCCGGGAAAGTTCTTGTGATACATCGTCAAAAGCTGTTAACAGGGTTCGAATGAGAAAAGATTCCAAGGGTTCAAATGACACTAAGGTTGAAAAGATCCATAAGCCGCCCAAAAACTCAAATTATAAGTTCTTCCCTGGAACCGTTTAGGTTTAGGTTGTAGCGGTAGGGTTGAACTCACGAAGGCCTCTGCACGAACTGATCCCGCTGCGCACGCAGCGCGTTTTGCTGCGCTATAGCGCCAGCTGTCGGCGGCACAATCTCCGGGCATCTTAGGGTTTACAGTTTAGGGTTTAGGGATATTGAGGGGATATGCAGGGATTATATAGGGGGTATATAGGTTTCAGGGTCTAGTGTTTATTTCCAACGGGCTCGAACCCCAAAGAGCCAAAGCATCCAGATAGAAATCTATACTAGGATTGTTTAAATGTAGTCTGGGTTAGTGTCCCCTACGCGCTGCTTAGGACCTTTAGGAAGGAAGAGTGGTTCTAGGAGAGCTTTGTATGCATGCTCGAGCCCCAAGCGTCCAAGTACCCAAATCTACAGGGACTGTAACGGGGTTGAAGGTTTAGGGTTTAGGGACCCCATAACACTGAACCCCAAGAATATAGGTGAGGAATATAAGGACACGGTCCCTAAACCCTAAGCCCTAAACCCTAAACCCTAAAAACCCTAAACCGCGTTCTATTCCTACTGTATTCCTGGAGATCTTTTTTTTGGGGGCTTCCCAGCTTACTCCCTGCAGAAAAACAAGGCTTCAGGTGCCCAAAGAACGTGCAGCTTGTGGTATTATGTAGGAGGACCCCTCACCCTGCGGTATAATAGGAACATAAGAGGACCCTAACCCTTATAGTCACTATTACTGGGTGGAGGACCCACCTAAGGCATTATAGGCAGAGTAAGTATGAAGCACGATAATGCTTCCTATAATGGTAGCTGTAAGGGAATGCAAAATACTATACCTCTTTAGAACTTATGCGTTTCTCAACCTAGATGGTATTTGGGATCTGAAGCCCAATTATTGGGTACTTGCGCTCCAGGGACTGCTCTATGAGGCCTTGTCAGTATGTACTGGCAACTGCTACTTAGCTGCTACTTGAAGGGCAAGGAAGACTCAGTGAGTATACCTACACACCCTATATGACCAATGTACAAACCCTAGCTACAACCCTAAAACTCAAACCCTTACCGGACTGACTAGGTCCCCCTGAGCCCTCAAGTACGAGCGCGGTGCGGGGTTCTAGGCCGGGGCGTGACAAGCATTGGACCAGGGTTTACCTAGACCCTCCAATGTAGTACCTTTTTGGTAGTCCTAATAAGAGTCCTAACCAAAAAACCACACCAAACCCAAAAACAACTACATTGGAGGGTATAGGATCGCTTAACAAGTTGACAGCCAATACCTTAAGTGTCCAGTATACAAAAGTCTTATACTTCCGTCTTCTTATACCATTACCTGCATTAGCCGTTGTTGAGTCTTTTCGGAATATATGAGAATTTCATGCTTTGGGCCCCCCTAGGATATGTTCCATGAGGCCTTGTGAGCAGTGGGGCCTGCGCCGTCAAAAGCAACGTGTTTGGTGGATAAACCCTAGACCCTAAAGCCTACCCCTAAAGGGCCTGTACCGCCCAGCCGCGGGGCTTGTTCTTAGCGGAGGGGATTACGAGGCCGAATCGATAAAGCATACACCAGTGCAATGGATTACCCTGGAATGCAGATTACCTACCATGGCCGAGTTGAAGGTAATCTAACTTTTAGGTGGGGACTAGGGAAGAATGAGTCGCCACAGAAGTAACTGGCCTCTAGGGTTACCAACTCACCGCCAGCCCCCTTCAAACCGTCCACCCTTCATCCTATTAACCAGAATGTGCATGTACCCAATGATAATGCTTAATGTTGAGAAGTTCGGTCTAGACCTTGTTGCCACCATTCCAGCTGCCCCTTAGACGAACTTCCCTCCGAAAGTCGCTCAATCCCTGAAGTTGTCCTGCCTGAGACATACTCGCTAAACGCTTTAGGGTTTAGGGTTTAGTAAACCCTGAGCACTGGAACCCGAAACCCTTGAAACCCTAAACCATCAAAGCCCTAAACCGCGTCAGGCCTAGGGGTTTAGGCATTCCAGTCCCATCCGTTCTTCCGCAGTCCAAAACCCGTACGCTACACCATACTCCCATATCCCGGAACCCTAAACCCTAAACCCTACTCCCTAAACCCTGCTCCCTAAACCCTACTCCCTAAACCCTAACCCTAAACCCTAAACCCTTAACCGTAACCCCAAACCCTAAACCCGAAACATCCTGCTCCTCCACTGTGCTCGGAGAGGAGACGAAGTTAAAGCACGGACAGCCTATAGTCTGGAGTTTAGGGTCTATAGGGCCCTAATTCTCTATTTGGGTCCGTCCCCCACTGTTTAGGGGCTTTATACCACAAAAAACTACTGTAGGTTTACTCAAGCCGTATTAACTCCAACAGCTAGCATGCTCGGGTTTAGGGTTTAGGATGTAGGGTTTAGGAAGTTGAGGACTTTGGCTTTAGGGTTTAGGCTTTGGGCTTGAGGGCTTAGGATTTAGGAGGTGGGGCTTCGGATTTAGGACTTAGGATTCGGGGTTTAGGGTTTCGGATCTAGGCTTAGGGCTTTAGATCTGGGATTCGGTGTTCAGGGTTGAGGGTGTAGGATCTACCTGAACCCTAAAAGTATGTAAGATAATTGCCTTTTGGGCAGTTTTAATGGATTTTGGGCTATCATTTTACCTACTTTTGGGGTCCAGGTACTGCCAAACATGTAGGGCTTAGCATTGCCACTACCTGAACCCCAAAAGCAGGTAGAATAATAGCCCAAAGCCCTTGAATATAGCCCAAAAGGCCATTATTCTACATGAGCCATTGTCTAAACTCCTAGTATCCCCCTTAATAAGCCCTATAGTAGTCCCCTATATAATCCCCTATATAACGCCCTTTAAGGAGTTTAGACTATAGCACACATACTTTTGGGGTTCAGGTACCCTGCATCTAGCCTCTGAAAGAAGAGGCGTGACCACCTGCGGCTGCATGGAGCTTCTGAGCCTCCAAAAGGTTGTAGGGATTAGGGCTGAGGGTTTAGGGGTTCAGGGTTTAGGGTTTTAGGGTTTAGGTCTTAAGGGTTTAAGGATTTAGGGTGTAGGATTTAGGGTTTAGGCTTTTAGGGTTTAGGGGCCTCCAAAAAGTTGTAGTTCAGCTGGAGCTGCTGCGCTGCCAGGAGAATCTGGGTTCTTTCCTTGGACATTCTACGGCCTTCCAGGTCTTTGGTACAGAGCTTGCCAATGGAGTCTTTGAAGACTGGAGAGAACTCACCTTGAGGGCCGTGGCACTGGCCTTGGCCATGCAACTGTGATGGAGCCCTCTTTGAAGTCAAAAAAAGCAATGGTCCCTTTGGCCCAGGCTGAGGCTGGCATTAACAACTCCGACCTGTTATACCAAAGCTTAAGCCACAATAGCCAAACCCTAAACCTTCTACAGACCCTGAACAATAAATCCTTGACCCTAAATCTTAAGCTCTAAGCAGTACCTGGCCTGATGTATGGGCTTCCAAGCTGTAAGGTTTGTCTATTCCAAGTCAAGCAGTTGTAAGAAACACAAAACCCCTCGTCCAACGCCTCTAGGCTCTAGGCCTCTTAGGGTTTAGGGTTTAGGGCTCTAAGCTCTAAACCCACAAGACCAAACCCTTAACCACTAAAGCTTAATCAACCCAAATCTCTGAATCACCACTAAACCTATACACCCAAAAACCGAGTCCCTGAGCTCCTGAAACCTTAAACCCACACCTTGTATTCTGAATCCTAAGCTCAGCTTGAAACCCTACCTAAACCCCAAAAGTATGTAGAGTAATGGAAGGTATAATGGAAACTACTGAAGTATATTGGGGATTTTCTAGGGTTTGGGGTTTAGGGTGTCGGGGTTTAGGGCTTAGGGTTTAGGCCCCAAAAGTATGTAGAGTAATGACCTTTTGAGCTATATTAATGGTTTCGGGCTAGTAACTTGCCTACTTTTGGGGTTTAGGTAAAACCTGTTTAGGGCTTGGGAGGTCTAAAGCACCTGTACGCTAAGCACTGCTTCCTTGACCTTATTATGTAAACTTTAAAATTCTAGACCCCTAGCCCTTACACCCGAAGCCCCCAAAACTGAGCCCTGCACTAATCCCCTCCCCCATATCCACCGCGTGGTGTTGAAATTGTCCCATTGAGGTCTACGACAAAAAATTCGAAATATTTAGCGGGGGCATAGGAGGGTGGGGGTCCTAATATATATGGGGGAGGGAATTCGTAAGATGATGTTGGTAACCCGGACGTCGAAAATTAGGACCCACATTTGGACCGCCTTATAGTCACATATACGACTATTTACTACTCCCTAATCCCCCAACCCGATACACAAAACCTTATTCTACTCATTTCCCAAATTGACCCCTTACACCCTAACCCCTATTGCGATGATTTCCGACATCACTTCCCTAAAGCCGTAACCCCTGAAGCCTAAGCCTAAACCGGCTGAACCCTATATAAAATTAAACAAACCCCACACCTGAACCTTAAAACCTAAACTTAACCCATAGCCCTGAACCCTACAGTATAAATTCCTAAACCCTAGAATGTAGATCCCTAAACCCTGAACCCTAAACCCTAAACCCTAAACCCTGAACCCTAAACCCTAAACCCTAAACCCTAAATCCCTACAACCTGAACTTTGGCCAGGTCTCAGCAGCAGCGACTCCCCCTCCCGGACTCTTCGAAGAGCGGCTGCCCTTGTGGGGAACTCCGCCCTGGGTCAAAACAAGAAAATGGAAACTACTATCTAGGGCGCAGGGTTAGGGTTTAGGGCTGAGGGTTTTAGAGTCTAGGGTTTAGGGTATAGGGTTGGGGACATATTGAGATAATGAGAAAGAAAATGGAAACTGCTATAGTATAATAGGGTGTATATAGGGCGTTATATAGCGATAACGGAAAAAATGGAAGCTATTATTCAGGGTGTAGGGTTTAGGGCGTCAAAGGGATGTGACGTCTACATGGCAGAGAGTTTAGGGCTTAGGGTTTTGGATTTAAGTTTAACTTTAGGGTTTAGGGTTTAGTTTGAGGGTTTAGGCTTTAGGTTTATCTTAAGGGTTTAGGTGTCATTTTGAGGTTTCGGTTAATTTCAAGGTTTAAAGGTCTGTGTTTAGGTCTAATTTTTAAGTTTAGGGTTTAGGGACCCTGGATTAAAGGACTCGCTACATTGCGAAATTGGTCAACCTGCGTCCTCTGTATATCCCGCCTGCAGGTCCCCCCCACCCGAACTTGAGTCCGTAGCTCACATCGGTTGAGTGGTTCAGGTTTGGGTTTAGGCTTGGGGGTTTAGGGCTTAAGATTTATGACTCAGAGTTTTGGTGGCGAAGGGCAATGAGGCAAGCAAATCGATGGCTGGAGATATCCCTAAACCCTAAACCCTAAACCCTAAACCCCAATTTCAAGCCACCTATAACGCCTCCTCAAGGTGGGGATACCCCCCTGAAAGCTTATGCGTATGTTGGTTTTGGTTTCCAAACTATTTCAAACCCTCCGGGGGTTGCGAGTTTGGGGTTTCCGGTTTCGGGTTTGGGGTTTGGGGTTGCTCAGTCCTGGACTGTAGACAATGAACACCCCGAGCCCAGAAGCCGTACACCAAGCCAACCCTGAAAACACCGCTGAGGACCAAAACCCACGAAGACATAGGAAAAGACCTGCCAGGGTCTTTGGTTTCCCCTTCAATTCCTACTATACTTCCTAACCCCCAAGTCTTGGGGTCTCCGTTTTTACGTATCTTACAGCAAGGCTTTAGGTTCACCTGAACTTCAAAAGTACGTAACATAATAGCCCGAAACACCTTAATATAGCCCAAAAGGCCATTATTCTACATACTTTCGGGGTTCAGGTAGGGTTTAGGCCCTAAACCCTAAACCCTTAAACCTAAGCCCTTAACCCTAAACCCTAGATTCCCAATTGACTCATCTTAAACCAAGATGCTGAAGAGGCCGCAGAAATTTCGCCAACCTCCAGTTGTCAGCGGAGCCTCATCATCGAAATCCTGGGCTTGGTTTAAGGTCTACCTGAACCCCAGAAGAATATAGAATAATTGGGAATCTAGGGGTTTAGGGTTAAGGGTTTAGGCTTAAGGGTTTAAGGTTTAGGGCCTAAACCCTATCTGAACCCCCAAAGTATGTAGAATAATGGCCTTTTGGGCTATATTTAATGGGTCTAGGGCTAGTAATTTACTACTTTTGGGGTTCAAGTCGGGTCAACATGAACTGCTTGAAACCTCGACCCCTAAACCGCGAACCCTAAAATTTGTAAAACCTAAGCACCTGAAAATCTGTTCCTCCAAGACCTGTAATGTGGGACCCTCTTTAATATAGGGGGCCCCCTCCCTCCCCCCGAAGAATTGACTATTCTCTGTCATACGCAGCCGGACCCTAAATTTGCCTCGGAAATTAAGATCCATAAAGCCAAGAATCGTACCTGCACCCCCAAAAATAGGTAAAATAATAACCCAAACCACCTTAAGATAGCCCAAACGGCCATTATTCTACATACTCTTGGGGTTCAGGTTAGCCTCGAAGCTGACATTCTTTTTTGGATTAGAATGAGTACTTAGGGTTTAGGGTTTAGGGACTGGCACTACCATTAGCATTAAAAAGATTCTGCAGAGCGTAATTAAGACAATTGAAAATCGAATTAGATTTTATTGAAATTAACATCAAGTAAAATCGAATCTGGTTCGAGTGACATCTAGTTGAACTCAGTTCAAATCCAAATCAGTTGACATTTTAGATCAATTTGCAATCTACGTAGAAGCTAGTCAAAATCAATTGGGGAATCTACTTAAAATCATTAATGAAGGTTCATGTAAGACCAGTTGACATCAAATCAAAACCAACTGAAACAAACTCAAATCGACTGAAAACCAACTTTAAATCAAACCGAACTCTTTATTCAAGCTCAATTGGAATCCGATTAGACTCAATCGAACCTTAACCAACATGAACTTGGAATCCAAATAAATCCAATCAAAATCTAGGTTCAAAAAATCCAAGTACAATCAAAAACTCTATTTGGAATCAATTCAGAACACAATTAGAACCAAGTGAAGTCTGACTGAAAAACTATTTTGAAACCAACTGAAAATCAGAGGAACCTTGGTTTAAAACCAATTGAAATCCGATTGAAATCAGGTGGAAATCTAACCAAAACGAATCCAAACCAAATTAAAACCAGTTCAAATCCAACTGAAACCAATTGACACAAAATTCAAACAATTGCAAGTCTAGTTCAAGCCAATTTAAAACCCAATTAACGCCACTTGAAATCCAATTAGAACCATTTTAAAAATCACCTTTAAATGGATGTTATTCTCTTCAAAGTTTAGGTGAGCTGGGAACATGCGTCATTATTCCCGACCCCTAAAACAAACCGTTTACAGTGGATCCCGGCCACTGCTGGACTATCCCACGCAAAAAAAGGATAGATCGTAAGATTTCGTATAATCCCCAAAAAAGCGATCTCTGTTAAGCTGGGGTCTCTTAGTTTCTGGGTGTCGGCGTCTTGGATATTTGCCCTTAGAGGTAGGGCTGGGTCGTAAAACTCGGTATTCCAATCCTTCGAGGCCTAAGGCTTAGAGCCTTTCAGTTTTAAGGTCTCCTTAGCTAAGACAAACCAAATTTAGGAAATACATGTATCATTTTTAATATTCTGGGCCCCAAAAGGTTTTATTAATCCTTCCCCTTGATGTTAAATCCACCCTCACATTAAACAATAAATTCAGTGGCCTAAAAAAATCCAGAAGACTATTTTTAACAGGGGAAGACTACTTGTAAAAGTGGCCACCTAATGCTGAATTAGGGTTGTTTTGAGGTCATGAGGGCATAAGAAGAAATACAAAGGAATTCGGCACCTCCTTCACTTCCTAGGTTTCGACGATTTTTCATATGGTCTTAATGAAGGGTCCTATATACAAGAACTGAATGCGATCCTGATTGAGTTTATTACGATTTTAGCCGTAATTATTTGATTAAATCTCAGTTGAGTTTCATTCCATTTCAATTGGTTTTAATAGAAGGATAGTTAGATTTCAAATGATTTCAAACGGAATGTAATTAGGTTTTAATAGATTGTAAATCGAATTTAAGTCGATTTTGATTGATTTGCGATGGAATCTTAATTACATTTCATTTGAGTTTACATGGATTTTTACTCGATTCCAATGGGTTTTAACAGAATCAATTTCAATTGACTTGAAAGGGAATTTGAAGTAGATTTCAATTCAATTTGAAAGGAACTCAACTTGGATTTCAATGGATTTTACGGTGGTTATAAATCAATTTCAAGTGGTTTTTAATAGAATTCTAACTAAATGTAAATTTGAATTGGTGTTAACTGGAGTTTAATTCGATTTCGATTGGATATAAAAAGGAATTCAGATTAGCTTTCAATTGATTTAATTCGATTGCAATAGGTTTTTAATAGAACTCTAATTGTCATTCAATTAATTTTAAATGGTTTTCATGCGATTTCATTTGATCTAAAAAGGAATTTTCAATTAGATTTCCATTCATTGTAAAGGTATTTCAATAGGTCTTTGAAATAATTTAAGTTAGATTTCAATTCGTTCGATTTCAATAAGTACTTACTTAGTTATTCAATTTACCTATTTAATACATTTTAATTGATTATGTATTCGGATTTTAAAGGCAGCCCTATCTAATTCCTTTAACAAATATCCCCACCCCGCAAATGTTGAATGATGATTGAATGATTTTTCGGTGCCCGGATTATGTAATATTACTGGGGGGGGAGCGGCGTCCAATTTAATACTACGGGGAAGGGATTATTCCGCTCCCTTCCAAACAAACTAAGTCCACAATAATTCCCCTTTGCTATGCCGGGTCCCTTACGTAAAGAGGGTCCAACATTAATCCACTTAGATTTATGATGAACATGTTGTTGTTTCATAGTTCCTTGCTGTTATGCCGTCCTCAACCCAGACCCCTGGGAGGATATTCAAAGTAGATACCCCTCAAGGGTCCCTAGAAATTACCCAATACTAGCAGTATAGGGTACTGCATTGGGGTACTCCTGTCTAGACTTTCCCAGGGGTCTCCCTAAACCCTAAACCAAACCCTAAACTAAACCTTGGGTACTGCCCCCCCCCCCCAGTAACAGTCTATATTAGGGATCCTATTAAGGGCTATATATAACCATATTATACTTATTATCCAACTGTTACTCAAAAAGGCAGGACCCAAACTAAAACCTAAATAGCTGGGCCGCTGATTGGTTGATCCGATGCACCACGCCGAAGGCATCCCTCTCCGTTCTGCGCCAGGACTTGGCAACCTTTAGGGTTTTGGGGGTTTAGAGTTAAGTTTAGGGTTAGGGTTTAGGCTTTAAGGCTTCGGGTCTGGGAGTTTAGGGTTACCTGAACCCCAACACTAGGTAGAATAATAGCCCGAAACCTATTGATATAGCCCAAAAGGCCATTATTCTACATAATTTTGCGGGTTAGGGGCTTGGGGTTCAGGCTTTAGGGTTTGGGGGGTTCGGGTCTAGGGCTTTCGGCTTAGGGTTCTAGTCTTGGCTTTTCACTTCCCCAATCTTCTGACAAACTCTATAGACCCCTACGGTCTTTTTTTCTGAGACACCCAGGCACAGGCCCTCATAGTTCCAAGTAATATCGACACGGAGAACACAAGTGTCTGAAACAGATCTGATTGGGAGTTCCTGAACTTGCACAAACATACATACACCTCAAAAAGTGTCCCTCGCAATCCTCGCGTAGTCCCTAACCCCTAAAACCACTTCTCAATTTGGAAACAAGGAGAAATGTAAACAAGAGGGTGTCCCTAAATCAGTGGTAGAAGTAATATCACGACCAGCATGATGTCTCGTATAGCTATCGTGATGCACAGGATGTAAGGCCCTTCTGTGGTTGGGGAGTGGAGGGTATTGATAATTACTATACGTATCATACGTGTAAGCTAACATTATGAGTAATTACTAGAAAGAAGTTTCAGAATAGTACGACTTGGGAAGCTTGTCTGAAGTGTCCCTGTTGCAGGGCCATGAAGGGGGTTCCCAGGGTCGTGCGGGGCCCTAAACCCTAAACCTTAATTAAACCTGACATGTGTTCAAACCCGAGTCGTAAGGAGTGGCTTCTAATTCAGCGCATGGGGTCTGGGGCTTGGGGTCTAAGATCTAATTCGGTTTTAGGGTTTGCCTACTTCTGCGAACTACACTTGTACAAAATTAGTGGGGGTTGTATCTGGACTACGTAGTATAAGGATAGCTCCAACATTGAGCAATACTTGGGCTGGAAATCCGTCAGCCCAGCGACCTTTTTTGGAAGATGCGAGCCAATAAAACGGTTTTAAGGTTTTTTGAAGGCGCCTATGCGGATTTCCATGTGGGCTTAACTGTAGGGACCATATGCAAACGCGTGTACTGTCGGAGCCTAAACAATTCGGATAGGTTTTCAGGGTACATCAATCCATAAGTGTTTAAGGATTATCGGAAATTTCGCAGGCTACTACAGTATATCTTCACCTTTTTTTGACGTACGAGTTGCATGCTGCCCAACCTGCCTAAAGAAGGAAAGAGCCCTCAAGTTCTTCTACTAGTAGTAGCAGCGGTAGGGGTAGGCGGAATCGTAGTAGTAGTAGTAGCAGCAGCGGCAATAGTAGCAGCGGCAGCAGCAGCAGACCCCAACCCCTCTCCACTCTAAACCTGGGCTCGAAAGATGAACCCTCGATGTCTGAAAGCCAAACCACAAATCCCCACAATGTAAACCCTACCTGAACCCCAAAAGTATGTAGAATAATTAATATTGGCCTTTTGGGCTATTTTAAAGGTTTTTGGGCTACTATGTTGCCTACTTTTGAGGGTTTGGTAAACTCTAAACTCCTAAATCCCCAAGGCAAGAACCTTCACCCACAATTTCTGGCACCTCGAACAATGGGTGCGTGTGCAGCTGCCGCGCCTTTCAACTAAACTTACTGGCGGTTACGGGGAACGAGCGGTAACTAGCAGGCCTAAGGGTCCAAGGACCCAAGTGATAGGGTCTTAGGGCCGAAATACCAATGCTATGCCAGTATTTGGGGCCTGAAGCGCTATTATTTGGGTCCTTGGACCCTTGGGGTAATGTCCCTGAACCCTAAACCCTAAACCCTAAATCCTAAATCCCTAAACCCTAAACCCAAAGCCATATATGTATGTACGTAGAATTCGGAGTTAAGGCCTCAAGGGTTGCCCGTAGGCAGTGAAGGCTTAGGACATAGGGACTCCAATACGGTGCTATGGTTTAGGGTTTAGGGTTTAAGGTTTAGGGCTTAGGGTTTGAGAATTTTTTGTGGGACCTTTAAGGGTTTGAGGTTTGGGGTTTAGGGATGTTTAGGGTTTATTCCTGTATTTCCTCTAAGAAAGCCGCAAGAGCCGATCGCAAGATGCAAGGATTTCTGGTAGACCTCAGCCCACAAGCTCTAAACCTTTAGGGTTTAGGGTTTAGGGTTTAGGTTTATGAACGCTAAATGCTAAACTCTACACCCTCAACCTAGACCCTAAGCTCTGAACCATAAAACCATATGAGGAGTTTTCAGGCTGGGTTTCTGATTACTGGCCTGACTTGATTTTCGGGTATAAAGTTTATGGCTGTTAGCTTTAGGGTCTAATGTAGATCCATGAGTAATAAACCCCCTTGTTTTAAGGGCGTTAATATTTGGATCCCTGTTGTGATCCCTACTTAATTAAGGGAGGGGGTTTGTTAATCAGGGGTCTGCGTTAGGGTTTTGAGTTCGAGGTTGGGTTCAGCTTAAGATTAAGGTTTCTGGATTAGAGTCTAGGGTTTGCAGGGCTTAGACGTCTAGGGCCTCGAAGAACAAACTCGCATATTGAGGATACCAGTCATATGAGTAGTTGCTTTGGGCGACAGTCTAGCAGTATATCCTGGTGACCCTAAACCCTGAACCCGAAATCCTTAACTGTAGGGGTCCCGAAACCCATTATGTACTATATGGGGGTCGGTCTAAAGGTTTTTAGGAAATCATTCATGGTTCCTGTAGGTCTAGAAGGGAAAAGCACCGGACATGTGCGTCCATAGTGGCCATGTTGGGAACAGGAAACTTGATCAACTATCAAATATAGCATACACTCGACACTCAAAGTGCTCAAAAGGGAGCGCCTCTCGTCCCAAGCATATAATTCTGTACATGCTTGGACCTCTTGTCCCAAGCATATAATTCTGTACATGCTTGGACCTTTTGGGTTCGTGTTGAGCGGACTGATTTTGAACTTCAAGGCGTCAGGATCCAAGGCTAACAGGTCTTGGGTTGAACGTATGGCTCCCTAGTTTGACCATGCGGTTAAGGTTTAGGCCTCAAGGAATAACATGTTTATGGCATATCAAGCATTTCAAGCTACAAAACCAAGGGCCTATTCCAGCAGGGGCCACTGGCTGCAGCCGTTCAATACAGAGAATTTGTGATCCCATGGGGCTTTAATCCCACAACCCGGAACCGTATAATATGTAACTGAAGCCCCATTGTTGTTCGTCCAGCATCAGCGGTTCCTACCTGCTGGAAGCAGGTGAACCCCAGCAGCTGTAACCGGGAGCCCAACACATCTCAGTTTAGGGTTTCGGGTTTGGGGTTCGGGGGTTTAGGGTTTAGAGGAATCATTCCTTCTCTTATCCAGGCCAGGTTTCCTAAAGGCTCCAAAAAATGGATCCCACTCAAACTGGCTCCACTGCTACATTGGGGAACCTAGGGGATTATTAGAGGGCTCGATTTTTTGGATCCTTTAGGGGGTCTGGGAGCCCTGGTGGATTCCTGTCTTCACAGTTTTGCAAGTGCCTCTTATCAGTAGAGTCTTGAGAAATGGATGTCTGTAGTAGGCCCACTGTTAAATCCTACAGCATACTGTCCAAGTCCCAAAACAATGTATAAAAGGAACAATGACGAGAGGCCCCTTTTCCCTGGGGCTCTAAGTCTATGAATGCTGTAAAGCCGAACCTCCCTCGACTCTACAACCTAACCTCTAGGGCACAGTAGTTTTGATATTCCGTTCCATTCCTTCTGTCCCTACCTGAACCCCAAAAATATGTAGAATAATTGATAAAGGCCTTTTGTGCAATTTTAAGGGGGTTTGGGTCATTATTTTACCTATTTTTGGGGGTTCAGGTAAGATTCATACATCCAGCAAGTTCTACAAACCTGCAGGAGCCAGTGGAGGACGCACCATGGCATGTGAGTGCAACTGATCTTTCCCCTTTCCTCGAAGCCTTCCGTTCCACAGCTAAACCCTAAACCCTAAACCCTAAACCCTGAACCCTAAACCCTGAACCCTAAACCCTAAACCCTAAACCCGAAACCCAAAGGAAGCCTGGACCCAAAAACCCTAGGGTTTAGGGTTTAGGGTTTAGACTCCTAAGCCCAAAACTCCAGAACCAATACAGAGCTCGATATTCTATAGTTCTTTTATAGGCTCCCACAACATGGCCCCTAATTTCTTGGAAGCCCACGGCTATGAATCCTATGTCCTCCCAGTTACAAAGATTTCTAGCCCCTATATAGATTGGACCCTTTGTGCTTGTAAATGCTACTTGGCTCTGCCTTTCGCAGCTTGTAGATGTTGCGCGCCTGCATTCAGGATGAGCAACGTTCAAGGTGTAGGGTGTAGGGATGTTTCTGTGTTTAGGGTATCTGCTTTTCCTACTCCTCTTCCAAACTCTGAATCCTTCAACTCATAGGCACTGAGCTTGTCATCCCTCTGACTCCCAGTACACCTAATTGGTAACGCCCGCGACCTTTATGGGGCCCTGTTCGGAGTTGCACGTCATGTTGTGCCGACCGTGTTTGCAAAAAAGTTTCAGCTGTATATCACTCAGGCTTATACTCAGAAAGCCCAATCCACTTTTACGTTTAGCTAAGAAATACCTGAAATGATACCAAGATCCCTAATCCGATTTATGGGCCAGTCCTTAAATGATGGGTATTAGGCTCCCTATATAACACGCCAAGGCTAAAAGTCATGTTAAGGACACCCCGCAACCCTGAACGCAGCAAATTGTCCAAGAGGCCTGCATGATACCAGGAACCCAACTATGGAGACCTGTACTATACACCCTGAACCCCCTAAACCCTAAACCTTCCCTAACCCTGAACCTTGAACCTATAACCCTAAACCCTAATCATCGTGTAAAGCGCAGGACTTAAGACTTCAGTTTCTCAGGGCTTGGGTGCCAAAAGTCTTCTTCCTCAAGCAAGCGCGTGCAAGTATAGGATCTGAGGTTTTTATGGGTTCAACTACTCAATAATCATACACTTTCCGAAGCCCAGACTAGAATTACTGACCAGTGCCAAAATCCCATGCCCCCATTGATTACGTACGTGGACCTTCAAAAATACTTAGGGGCTATAGGGTTTGGGATCTGTTGGGTATGCACTTATGCCTTTAGATGAGACGCATATTCGTTATCGGAAAGAAGAAACCCTAAGCCCTAAAATGCGAGAAACCCCAAACCCCAATACCGCAAAACACCCTAAACCCTAAATAAAGATCCTAAATCCCAAACCGCCCCAAGCAAGGGAACTACCAGAAAGTAATGAAATACATAGGGCTCAGCCTAAACCCTAAACCCTAAACCCTAAACCCTTAAACCCCAAACCCTAAACCCTAAACCAATATACTCAAGGTTTAGGTTCCCAAAAGCTCTTTGAGACGCTTGCAGCTACTATTTGGAGCCCCAAAACACACTACCTAGGTAGGGGTTTACTGTAGGGTTTAGGGTTTAGGGTTTAGGGTTTAGGGCTTAGGTTCCCTAAACCCTAGACCCTCAAACCCTAAAACCCTAAACTCCAAACCCTAGAACCCTAGCATCCTAAACTCTAAAACCCTACACCCTACAGCCTACAGCACTTGAGCCCTTAAGGGCCTGCTGTGATTTTCACAATCCCGCTTCTCTTGCTGTCCAAACTGAGCGCAGAGCCCCGCACAAGAAGAAAGGCGGCACGAGCACGTGCCCCTAAGGGTCCAAGCAACGCCCACAAACACTTCAGGCTCTAGGTACCCCAAAACCCTTCAATCTTTAGGTACTTGCCGGGCGGGTATTGAATTCTAGTGTTTGGGACCCAAACCCTTAATCGTAGCCCTTCAACAGCTACACCCAAAACTCTAAGCCCTAAATCCTAAACCCTGGATCTTAAACCCTAAGCCCTAAATCCTAAACTCTAAATCCTAAACCTTCTCTACCTCTACATATATATATATGTAAATTTAAACCTTAGTAGGGCTATTTTGGTCGATTAGGATTTAGGGTTTAGGACTTAGGATTTAGGGTTCAGGGGCATCCTTCTGAAGCCCTCTGGCAGCCTCTGGAGGCCTCTGAAGTCCTTTGGAAGCCTCTGGAGGATTCTGGAGGCTCCTGGGGACCTGCAGAGACCTCCGGAAGCCTCTGAAACCCTTTGTAGGCGGATTTAAGATTCTTGGAGGCCCCTGGAGGCCTCTTTGGGGGCCTGTTGGGCGTCATATTCCGGCGCAATAACGAAAACCACCAAGTCTGACTGAATTAGGATTTGGGCCAGCTGGGCTCGTTCGAGCGGTGCCTTAACCAAAACCACATCCTTATTGACCGCTTCAAACCTTTCTTGGAGCAGTGCTAAAACCAAAGCTGCGTCCTTTTAAAGCTTAGCAAGCCCTTTTCGGGTGGTGCTTTAACCAAAACCGCGTGATTTGCATCGCTATGGCTGCTTCCATCACGAACTAGCAAACCCTGAACCCCCACGTGAGATATACAAAAACGGGCTTAAAGGCTGTTGGGAATTTTCTGAAGTGACGCAGGCAGGTGGCGAGCGAAGGAACAAAAGGCGGGTAAACATGTTAGATGAAAAGGGATTTTGGGAGGGTGGGGTGATACCAAATACGTATAATGAACGTATAATGATGAAAGAAGCCTTGCTAGCTTCTAGCTCTAGCTAATCGTGAACCCTAAACAATAAATCCCAAACCCTAAACCCCCTCAGCTTCAGCTAAGGCATCGGCCAGTGAGGCAAAGCTAATTGAAGCCTCACAGCGTTCTAGTTCCGCCTCGCGTGCGAAGCTTGGAGAGCTGCAGCAGAGTTTCAGGGAAAAGGGTTCAGGATTTAGGGTTTAGGAGTTTCAGAGTTTAGGGTTTTAGGGTGTAGAGTTTAGGCTTGGGGCTTACAAGCCAGGAACAAGAACTCCAGTTTACTTCTTGTTGCCACTGCGAGTAGGTGCGTTGCAAGGAGCAGTGCTATGACGACATTCTTACCACTATGAGCATTTCCATCATCAATGCTGGGAGGACTTCGGACTCCATTTGCTATTGTACCTAGAGCATTCTAGACGCAAAAAAAAGGTAAAGATACCAAAATATCAAATGCAAAACCTTATTTGATGGGCATATGGGTTACTCAGGGTAAGACCATACTAACCCCTTATAACCCGACTTTCCATCTCATTCTCCATCTCATTTTCCAGCTGATTCTGCATCATGGCATCTGAATGGGAGCCCCAGGTCCTAAATCCAAGACCCGAAATCCCAAACCATAAGCCCTAAACCCTAAACCTTAAATCCTGAACCCTAGATTCTAAACCGTACATCCTAAAACCTGAACTCTGGGCTTGCCTCTCTCATGCACTTCTTCTTGAAAGTGTCGACAAGCTTCTCGACAAGCTTGTCTTCATGCGCCTCGTAAGATAAGAAGCTTCAGGCTTCGGGGGAGGTAGCTACTTGGAGGGTCAGGGGGGCTTCGTAAGTAAGCTTGTAACCCCTACCACCCATATAGTAACCCTAGTTATCCCCCTGATCAACCTATTTCCTAAGTCCCCCTGACCCTCCAAGTAGGGGGCATTACGTTGTAGGGGGTACCCAGACCCCCAAAAGGATCTAAAAATTAGATCCCCTAGAACCATGGGGGAAATTATGAGGATTATATAGGGGTTATAATGGGTCTATATAGGGGATCTAATTTTTAGATCCCTTTGGGGGTCTGGGTAAAGCCTACCAAAGCTCCGCCACCTGCACGAGTTCGATGGAGGAAATGTTGCAGGTTTCATGTGAGTAGTGGGGTTTTTTTGGTGGTTAAACCTAGTAAGATAATATTCCTTATATGAAATACGATACCCGAAAGGAGGATATAATCTTACTCTATATTGGGTACCATAGTATCCCCAAATAAAATACTACTCATGGGTAGGTCTTTGGGTTTTGGGTGTAGGCCTTTGGGTTTGGGTTTAAGGTCCCTAAACCCCAAACCCTAAGCTGAACCTGTACCTCTAAAGAAATTTGTACTTGATATTTAGGTATGCTTACCTTGTTTGGGGGGTCCAAGAAGACCATGGTACTATCCTTCCTGGGGTAGACTAGGTGGTGCCAGATTTCATCATCCATAATTATGGGCTTGAGGTCTATGGCTAATTATGCGATACAGCATTATAGATACGTGGGGTATATAATCCTATAATCCCTGTAGTTTCCATGTTCCTTTCCATTATCCCTACGTCTCCCTAAACCCAAAACCAAAATATTCTCCCAATGGGGGTCCTGGGCTTCTAGGCCCAAACATCTGGTGGGCTGGGCGATGTTCTCGCAAGAAGTCCTCTCGACATATGGGCTATAGGCTATAGGCTACACTCCAAGTATCCCCCTGAATAAGCCCTATACTACTCCCCTATATAATTCCTATAATCCCTAGATAACCCCCTTTAAGAAGTTTAGACTACAGCTCATATGATGTTGAAGTCGAGCGTGGTCGCTTCTGCTGCCTTCATGAAACTTTTGAATGGAGTTTGCGGAGCATCACGACCTCCATCTGCGATTCACAAGCCGAATCCAGCCTTAGGGGGAGGATACTTATCCCAAGGGTCCAAGGACCCAAATAATAGGGCTTTAGGGCCCAAATACTGTGGTATTTGGGACCTAAAGCCCTACTATTTGGGTTCTTGGACCCTTAGGGTTAGGTTCGCTAGGCCGAAGAGGCTGTCGGCGGACCAGCACGGAAAGCTCCGGAACACCTAAACCCTAAACTCTCCTATGGAACCTTGCTTGGAGGATGTCTTGACTTAGTAAGTCTACTTGGTAACTTGGGTTATATGGCCTATAATGACTCTTGTTAGGGACAGTAGGTAGACTTACTAGACCATAAACCCTGAATCCCCTAAACCCTACACCCTAAACTTAAACCCTAAATCACCTAGACCCTAAACCCTAAATCCCCCAAAGCCTCAACCCAACTTACTAGGTCCAAACATCATTCAAGTAGGGAGCTCAGCGAGGCTAGGGAGATCTTGGGGCGTCCTTAGTCATGGATGGTTAGGGTTCAGGGTGAAGGGTTTAGGGCTTGGGGTTTAGGTCATAGGGTTTTGGTTTTAGGGTGTGTGCCAGTCATAACTGGGACGTGTTTAGAAGGCATCCCCCTGAACACTACACCCAGAACCCTGATCATCCCGCATCTTCGTGAAACTAACACCCTCACCCCTAGCAGCACCTGACACTAAATTGGTTTTTTTTTGTCTGAATAGGAGGACCTTAATATAGACCCCAAAATACTGTAGTCCTTAGCATCGAAAGGCCCATATAAAAGCTAGGCTGCAGGGACGTAATCCGTGAGGCGGGTCT